TTTTAGCTACGCGAAAAGTCAGGAAATGAACTGTGTATAGCTGTTTGAAATGTGGACAGAATTGTAACTGAATACTGTCATATGAAGACATCGCCACACATGCCAGTGCGACTAGGCGTTAGAATGGCAATGTCCTTCCCAGGTAAGACCACACATACCTGGTGATATAATGAATGAAAAGTTCCCCTCCGGTAAGACAACACACCTGTAACACTAACCGTTAACATAGCAATGTCATTCTCAGGAAATAAACTCACCTGTATGACTAAGTGTATCACAACCAGATGTGGGTCCGATGCGATATATACAGCCGGTATAACATACACGGTTTGTTCACACATCGCGCTCTGTGTGGTAACTGTGAAATTTACGAAATTTATATATACAAATATATTATATTTTACCTAAAAACTATCTGTTTAATATCTTAATTCTTGTGTTCCATGGAACGTTGGAAATAAGTAAAAGTTGTACAATAGTTTGCCAAAAACTTAATCGTTCACGTGTTCTATAGAAAACCATAGTTTTTAACATTTAGTATTTCCCACTTGTAGGCTTATACCAAGCTGTAGAACACCGGAATGGCGAAAACATCGACCTATATATAGACTGTATGATGACGGACAACTTCCCATTACACTGTTGTGATGGCAAGCTCATTTTTACATTGAATTTATTTCATGTATCGTACAGCAATTGGCAGGAGAGTAAAACAATGGCTACTGACTTCAGACACTTAAATGATCGCTGCTCTCGGGAGAACAAACATGTCAAACTTCATGTGTGTTATAATTGTAGTTAATACGTATTATGCAATGTATCTTTGTGACGGACAGTTTTAAAAGTTTCGGCTAAAGTCCAACGCAAAATAAAGATTGTCCTTGTAAATTACGTCACATATGCAATTCCTTTGATGAAACTACCCTGTCGTTCGGCTCAAAGATACACGTCTCTTGTTCACATAAGCACTCCGTCTGTTACTACGATTTTACAGGCTGGTGGCTGTCGGACACATTCGAAGATCATTTTCTGGTTCGACTATTAAATGTGGACAGAATGGGACCACTAAAAACCAGACAGGATCGGTTCGTTGGATTCAATAATAAAACGCTCGGACTGAAAATCGTAAGTATAGCTAAATAAACCGGAACATTTTAAAGTTTATGAAATAAATTAAGATGTTGAGTTTGATCTGCGTATGATGGAGATACTTCCAAGATTCTGTACGCAACACCAACGTTGCACTTTTTCCTTTCGATGAATTTGAAAATATACTGTTTTTGTAAACTGCATTCATCCATGTTAATTAAAACACATTGTGTGTCCCGCCTTCCCTTGAACAAATAACGTTTATATTTGAAATCATAAATATGGCAAATACGAATTGAATTCAATAGATTAATAAATCTTAGCATCTATGAATACATCCATAAAGTAATACGGATAATTTGGAATATTATGTAATATTTGTAATGTTGAGCCAACCTTGACAAGTCGCGAACATTTGACAACACAGTGAACTATGCATGAATCAATTTAACGTATTATTATTATTATTGCAAAGTCGTAATATAAAAGCTTTGTCATTGTATGTGCTATCGTTCGGTACTTGCGATGATGATTCAACGTATTCCAACATACTCAATATCCAGAAGGCACGTCAGCCATATGTCGATTTGGATAATGTACATACGCTACAGCCGTTTCCCAAACATGTACATCCAATATAACAGAGGTTGCCCATATACAATATAGCAGAAAACACTCAATGATCTTACTAAATTCACTTGCCAATGGACATAACTTACATTTGTTTAATATTTTGAATATTCGTAAAATTCACATAACTAAATATCAGGTACTGCTATATTTTTAAAGCAAACGGACAATGGTTGTGGACTTCTGGATCATTTGGTAATCCAAGATAAGGAGGATGCCACATCAGTTCGAAGACCAGATACTAAATTATCCAGGTTCGTGGTCGTTAATAATAATAATAATAATAATAATAATAATAATAATAATAATAATATATTTACCGATAATTAAAATTATTAGATATTGTAAACTGACCCGATGTAATGTTGGCATAATTTACATAAAAGTGGCGTTGGTGGCGCTGTCTTGTAGTATAATCATGGTGATCAATAACTGAAAGTGTAAATATTCAAACAGACAATGAGCTGAAGAGTTATGGAGTAGATCGTGGATGAACGACCCTATAGAGAGTTTGTGCAATTTATAGATAACAACAATTTCAAAATGTAAAAATAATTGGGATGAGTGGTCAGACGGAATTTGAACATTATGAAATCCCGAACGACATAGCCGTAGTCGTCGCGCCGCGGATGCGCGAGATATGGGTCTCATATAAACAAAGATGACGATTTTGACTGTTGCGCACCCCAACTAGTACATAATACGAGGTTACCAAGCTTCAATTATTTTAATATTTGTTCGGTGTTTAGAAGATATTGAAGGAGCCGCGGGTGGTAATTAGTGCGAGTGGCGCTCAGGACGAAACTCGTACTTGTGGAAAAGCGCATTTGATTATGGGAAAGTCCATGTTTATCACAACAAATGTCGCACATGCGCGGCGCGACAACGGCCACCCTTTAAGTTTTATTTCCAGAAGAGTGTTACCAATAATATTATAAATCAATACTACTGATGGAAGGTGTGATAGGTGAGACACAATTTGTTTACCCTACCCTAACCTCCCCTGCATTCTTAGTGACCGACTCCTTAATTCTCATTGTTCCTAACAGAAAGAGGGCGGCAGTACCCAAAATAGGGCTCGATAAAACGAAGGAACTCGAAGCATTTAAATGGTTTATGAAGGTCTTGGCTCACATCAGTTTGGATAAAAAGTTCATCTTTAACTGGCAAGAGTTTGAGGATGCATTTTTTGAGGTAAATATTATTCTGTAACATGGTAACATATAATATATTTTCCCTGGAAGTAAAATAGGTCGTGTGAGTGCCAAGAACGTGTAACCGAACTCGTAAATAATATGGTATGTCTAATCAAATATAATGACCTTGTTCTGTTCCATTTTTGGAAACTCTTTAGAAAGTGCTCTCTCTCTCTATATATACATATACATTAGTTAATAACATTAGTACATATGTCACACAGTTCTAAAGTTATTACAATCTTCTCTAGTCCATGAATGCTGACATGAGGTGTATTACTTTATCTGATGATGGTTTCATATTCTGATCGTGAGTTCTCGCCATTATGGATGTTCACATTAGTCGCCATGTGAGGGCGCCCTGGATGGGAGCCACAAATTATTTAACGGCTGTTTCAAATTCAGGCATATTGCAACAAGGATTTGGTAGTTATAAAGTGAAATGTAAACAAAGTACATTTTAAAATGATCGCTGTACAAAAGGTGTCTAGGAACATTCTTTTCAGTAGCGTAGCGCTTGCAAAAATCGGTCCTCATTGTTATGCTCTACGACAGCGCCACCAGGAACAAACCCTTGAGATAATTGTTTTTATTGCACTTAATTGTGGTGCCATCTATTGCTGGTAATATACATTACATATACATTTCATGTGTTTAATACATATATATGAATATGTTTTACCTTCAAACTAAAGTTGTTTTCAAACTTATGTTGTTTGTTTTATATTTTATTGTATAATTTATGCAAAGAATACTGACAGAGAAGTTACAAACGACTACATGACATACCTGTTCGGTGAAAACTCTGAATTACGAAAGGTGTTCAATCAGGTAGATACAGACAATGACGGCAAGGTGCGTGTTCTATCAGTATTGTTCACATATTTCGCCAATGATAACTGTACGAACGTGGTGTAATTATATTTACGAAGAAGATATTAAACAAAGTTGTTCTGTTCATTCACCATTATGACACCGTGCGCTGCCCACTGAATTACCTCATTGATAAATCGGTACGACGTACAACCCTATTATCAGAAGATATACGGACAGTGTTTGAGGTCAATGCACGAACATACAAACCAGATTGTATAGGACTCGTCAATGCTTCCATGCAATTGTATGAATCATTAAAACAATAACCCCACTACTAAACTATTAGGTTAACATATCCTGGTCATTTTCATCTGAATTTAGTTGTGCGCGTGTCCCTATGTCGTTTGCTCGTGAACTTATATACGTAACAAACGTCTGCTCAAGATACCACTGCAAGTCATAGAATCTTGTAATAGTAGTGACTTTTAACATCCGATTAAGGGGAACGAGTCTCCCTTTATTCCCTAGTTATGACTACTTTTTGAGACATCCTTTCATTGCGTGGGTGTGTCGAGATGAAACATTAGCCAACATCGAAATGCACGTGTTTCAGAGACGTGTCGCACCAAAACCAAAACGGAGCACTCATTCGTAACCTTATAGACGTACAATGATAACACAATCATATCGTTATATTCAAATAAACTATCAAGATTTGGTGTTGTTCCTGGAACAGAGACACCCGGAATTGTATCCACTTTACTGGTTATAATCGAAGAGAGATCACAAACACAGTTGACGTATTGAAGACTATGCAATCTACAGTATTGTCAAATTACAAACGACTATATCTTACCGTGTATATTACGTGTTTATATCATCAGTTTAGCAAGTTTATGGTTATAGCTAAGATATAGTATCATAATTCGGTTATGGCATTATTCTTTTGATGTAGATACATCTTGTGTACGTGCCAAGAGCACAAGAGTTTTAAAATTTAAATTTGTTTAAAGTTAAAACCTGGTTGTTATTAAATAACTCTCTGAACAAATCAGTTAGACAATTCTCGCAAAAACACATAATAAGTGAAATAACTAGGTGTCCTCATGGTGTGGAATTATCTGTTTCACGATGTCACGACAGGAACGTTTATTCAGACCTCGTGCGTGAACTAAAATAGTAATTGTCTTCACTACAACAAGTTGGGCGATAGAATGAGTGAAAGCGTCCATGGAAGAGCCATCATATAAATAACAAGTCCGGTTTTATCGCAAAACGAATTTAATGATTAATTTTTATTTTCGATAGAAATATACTGTTTCATACTGAAAAAACGATGTAAATAGTCATTATGATATATAGACAGTTTGTTAAAAGAAAAAAGTGAAAACCGGTATGCTAGTTTGCTCTGATTCGCTCGAGCGAACATCAGTACCGTCCATAAATTCACCGAGCTTGTGAAATGTGATGATGCGTACGGCACTGTTCACCAACTGACATTCATTAAAATAGATTTATTATGATGACGTACAATATATAAATGATTTCGCGAAGAAATGCAATTTGAAAACGAACTTAACGTTAGTGTATCTCGAATGCGTAAATGCTAGTTCCAGGGCCCATTTCATTTCACTCTTGACTCGCTAAAAGTACGGGAAATAATGCTTGTATACTGTGACGTTAAATGCGGGGGGGGGGGCTTTATGGGGCTACACCGTATTCAGGATCGGGGAGCTTGTCTTTAATACCGGTCTAATAGTCTTTGTCTTTGGTAGCGTGCTTATCTTATAAGTCTCCTCCCTCTCAGCTCGTCCGCTGTCACAGGGTGGGGATCGTTTGGTGAATGTATATCACCACAACTGAGACTGTGCAGAGAAAGAAATATACCAATAACGAT